CGAGGAGGAGGAGGAGGAGGAGGAGGGCGAGGAGGAGGAGGAGGAGGAGGGCGAGGAGGCGGAGGAGGCGGAGGAGGCGGAGGAGGCGGAGGAGGCGGAGGAGGCGGAGGAGGCAGGGAGCGAGCGAGTGCCTAGGGTGAATCAATGGAAACCCCCTCACGAAGCCGGGAAAACACTTCAGCCGCAGCCAAATAGCATTGATTATTTTCCTTCACTTCCCTCACCGCCGTGAATTTATTTATTTATTTTTTCCATCTCCGTCCCCGACGCCCCGGAGCGAGCGCTGGAGGGAGGGAGGAGGAGGGGGGGAAAAGGAATCAACACATCGGAGAAGTCCCTTCCAAGAGCCGCCCCCTCCCCTCCCCGCCTCGCGCTGCTCGGCGGCCGCGGTTCGACTCCCGTCCCTGCTTCCAGCTGAGGTGTAAGTGCATCGATTTCCGATGCTGCTGGGGTTTTTTTTTTTTTTCTCCTCTCCCTCTCACTCTTCTTCCCTTCCTTGCTCTTTGGAAGCTCGAGACCGAGGGGAGAGGAGGCACTCAGAGACTGCTGCTGGAGGGGACGGAGAGGGACGGGAAGAGGCTGGGGGAGGGGACACGGACGGACGGACAGACCGACAGCCCGAGAGCCTGGGGAGAAGGGGGGCAGGGGTGGGGGGAGAGAGGGCATGCGGGTGAGGATGGGGACAGAGGGGTGACGGGGACGGAAAGGCGGGTCAGCCGACGAACAAACGGACGAAGGGTAGCGAGAGCTTGGACGGACCGCGCCGAGCCGTGCGGGGCTCAGGGTTCCCGGAGGGAAGGGGAGGCCGGGTGAGTGCAAGGACTCGGAGCTGTCAGCCCGGAGCGGCCAGAGTCGCGGTGGCCCCCCGCCGGCTGCGGGATGGGGGAGGAACCGTAGCCGGAGGACTGATGGATGGGCTACCTCGGTGGGGTGCGGGGTGGAGGGGACATGGATACCCTCTTCCTGCCTGAAGTTCAGCTGCCTTTTTTTTTTAAGGTGCGAATAGGTGAGGGGAAGCCCCATTCAAGGTGAAGCGTATTTGTGCAGCTCCTCCCTCACACATTCTCCAGGGCTCGGCTGCCCCACTCTGAGTAGTCCTATCATTTTTAAGCACTGTACCATGCTTCACGCTGTGCCTATAGCCCAGCTGATCCCTGTCCATATGTCCCTGGTTGGTGTTGCCATTCTTCACCATGTCTCCTCACCCCATCCATCTGCAGTTTTGTGTGTTACTGTCACTGCTGTGAACCTTCCCATCCCAGTGATCCTCTCCCCGTATGTCCCTGTCACTGTGTCACGCCTTGGCTGCCTGACTGTTTTGCTGTCTAGGGCTCCATGCCCTTTCCTTCAGGGTCGGTCCAGATATTGCTGGTCTGTCCATGCTACTTCAGAGTTCGCTTATCAGCCATGATTGTGATTGTGGTAGCCACTAGTCAGGGGCCTGAGGAGTCAGGGGACGAAACAGATGTGCCCTCCTCCCAAGAATCGAGTCTTTTCAGCATGACCAAGCCAGCCTCCTCTTCCACCTTCACTAGGGAGGATTTGGAACTTCCATAGCATGGTTGACTGTCCTCTTTGCCATTTGTCTGTCTCTCCCATCAAGACCTCACCTCTGGTCTGTGTCATCTGCCCTTCTGGGAGCTTTCCACCAACCTCTTGCATGCTGCCTAATTTTCCTTCCTCTCTCCACTTTACCATATTGTACTTTTTTCATTTTCCCATTTTATTTCACTCCTTTTTTTCTATTTCTGTATCCTATGATCTTCCTTGCTTGTTCTCCACCTTTGTTCCCATAATCTGCCTTCTTCCTACCTTTTCTCCTTGATCATACCAAGTTCCCCTTATCCCTTATGCTCTTGCCCAGTGTTTTAACCCTAGCAATAGGAGATACCACAGACATGCAGCTGGAGAGGTGGGGATATGGTTTGTGAAGGCACAGAAACAGGCCAAGAAACCAATTTAATGGGCTTCCGGTGGCATATAACTCCGTCATCAATCAGTGCCATTATGTCAGTGAACTGTCAACTTTGATTTTGTAAGGGCACATTCTCTAGGATTCTAAGCTCCACCCTTCGTGTTTGCCCCATCTTTCAGTTCTATCTAGATATCAGTGGCTGTTTTCTTCACTTTTTACTTCATCTTCCTCCTAGGCCTCTGCTATTATTAAAGTTGGATTTAGCATCATTGTTTATGGGCACTTTTTATTATGGTGAGGGTAGCTGCCTTCAAGGGACCAGGCTCCTTCATCCTAAAGAAATGTAGTAAAGGTAGATAAAGGATCTGGCGAGTTTATCTTGGTTTTAAGTCCATCTTTGTTTTTTCTAGACCTCAGAGCTTAGAAGGGTAAAAGGAGAAGGTGGATATGTGCACATGATGGAAGATTTCAAAGCTGAACAGAATTACAGAAGGGAAGGGGAAGACGGGTACAATAAACACA